AAGGCATGAAAAAATAAGTAAGAGGCTCTGGCCATTGAACTTACGAGGTGGAACTAGTATTTGTGGCATTGTTTAAGACCACGAGAGCAGAAACGTAAATCGCCATACATGATGAGTAACAACTATCTGACACCTCACAGCGAAGAGATATAGGGTCTCTCTTTAAGTAATATATGGGTTATTGACCAAGCGTGAAGTAAAGGTGGCTGGGTATCTGCCAAGTTCTTTTTTGCGTGTCTATGAATCGAAACGGAGTCATGATCGAGGTCCAAAAACACGCAAAAAAAATAAATAAATAAAATAAAATAAAAAATAAAGGAGGCCAATATCCAGCCACATTGACTGAACAAGCTTGCTCAATAAAGGATTTGTTATATGGAAAAAGAACACTATTTCGTTGCGGGACGCAGCGGGTAACCCCGAGCGGGTTAGATAGCGCCATCTTGCCCGTTCGAGTAGCCAATCACAGCGCTGGCTTCGGTCCATCTTGGCCGCTCACGGAGCTAGCCATATAATATTTTATGCTTATTACACTCACGCAAGCAAATAATTTTACTTACCAAATTTCAGGTTGCATCTTTGAATATCAAATGGATACATCGTCATGTCCATAATACACGAGATACTGAGGATTGCCGGCACGGAAAGTTTGATATGGCCGTTATATCGGACCTCGGCTAATGTCCCTAGACCATTTTCTCCACTTTCAACGATTGGAGCCACACCTGTTTCAAGCCTGCAAATTTTAACAGGAATAAAATTAACATTGTTTGATATGGCCGTTATATCGGACCTCGGCTAATGTCCCTAGATCATTTTCTCCACTTTCAACGATTGGAGCCACACTTGTTTCAAGCCTGCAAATTTTAACAGGAATAAAATTAACATTGTCCTTCCAGTGGCAAGCAAAGCTACATTAACCGACATTTGTTCAAACTAAATTACAAAAACGTTATCGATTGAACCACTCACGAGTTTAGCAGTCCCATGGGCGGTGTCCAAATCGCATCCACCGGTAAATTAATCCGCTTCAAGTTTCCATAATGAGCCGGATCCCAAGAAAGAGAAAAATCTTCCCAGCTCTGCAAAGGGTGCAAACGGTACAATACGTAATGGGAAGGTTGGATAAAATACCGTCGAATATACGACGGATTTTCTGTATTCTGATTGGCTGTATTTCCTATGGCATGGTATAAAGACAGATACGAATACACAGATCGACATACATGTGGAAACATAAATGGATACAGCACATAAATAGACAGAAGGGCCACGATTGTCCAGACGAAAGGATATAGCTAGATAACAAGTTACATCAAGTTAGTCAAGTAAAATAAAATACCCACTGACCAGTCTGTACCACAGGCTCATTCTAACAAGCTGTTCAACCTCGTCCTAGTGCAAAATACAATTGATGACGTGAAATAAAAGATTTACTTTAAGTCAAACGATCGCCAGACCAAAAGTTGCAAAAAAATACAACATCACAAAAGCACTTTTTCCCACCACTCTCAAAAGTCTGTAAGGTTGTAAACCCAGCGCCACCTCTAATACTTGGGATTTGTTCTCAACTGGCCGTACATCAGTGTTATAATTCTTTAACAGGTTGTCAATCAACTTTCGATCAAAAGAGGTACTTTGTAAACCTGAAAGGTGGAATATCTTGTGAGTATAGTAACCATGAGCCTTAATGGATATGGCTTTCGCCCACATAAAGCAATTACTTACAATGAAGTACTGTAGCTCTCTGTGGCAGCGAACACACTATGCCGTAGAAATTTGAAAACGCAGTTTTATTTCTATAGTTAGGCCTACCGTACCTACTAATCCGTCACGAAAACGGAGCTTTTCAAAAACGCTCTTTAAACCGAAGCAATTTGAAATCGTTGGCTTTGTGTTTTAGTGTGGACGGGATAACATTTTGAAAACGAAGCTTTTTGAAAACGATGACGTCTCGATAATCATGTGATTTTCCTGACCGTTTTTCCTCAAACACCACGACCGGTGATTGCTGCGTTTTAATATTCCTCCTGCGTAGTATGAACGGAAAACATTTGATGCGTTTTAATTTTAGAGTGAAACTTCAGTTTCCAAATTCCATCGGCGTATTCTGGGTGGAGCCTATTTTGTCTTGCCATCTCTGCGTGGTTCATTTTATCGAGAATACTCTCACTTCCTTCGAAATTCGGCAGAGTTTCAGGTATCAAAACGTCTCACAATTATCAACCCAAAAAGATCGTTAACATTAGCTTCCTTTATATAGCTGCATATTTGTGTGCGACATTTATTTNCCGTTTTTCCTCAAACACCACGACCGGTGATTGCTGCGTTTTAATATTCCTCCTGCGTAGTATGAACGGAAAACATTTGATGCGTTTTAATTTTAGTGTGAAACTTCCGTTTCCAAATTCCATCGGCGTATTCTGGGTGGAGCCTATTTTGTCTTGCCATCTCAGCGTGGTTCATTTTATCGAGAATACTCTCACTTCCTTCGAAATTCGGCAGAGTTTCAGGTATCAAAATGTCTCACAATTACCAACCCAACAAGATCGTTAACATTAGCTTCCTTTATATAGCTGCATATTTGTGTACGACATTTATTTGCCCGCTGGCAGCCACATTCGTTTTAAATTTGTTAAAAGAGGATGAAAAACTTGGTACTTGTCCAGTTTTTTATTTTATTGACAGGTGTCAGTTGTAAGCCTAGCGTGTTTCTCTTGGTTTTCATGTTTGTTTTGCGGGTGTTCTGGCTTTCTTGTGGTTTTGTAGACGCAACTAAAAACGCGTATATCAATTCAAAAAACATCGTAATATACGGGGAAGCACATTCGAACCGACACTGGATTAAGTTACGCTGTTAATAAATTCTACACGGCAACAGTGAAAGAAATTCAACTAGCTTTCACGAGAGGCAAGATTTTTAGCACTTGCAAATTTATTTGTTTTCCCTGTTGCATGCAAGGTCGATACATAAAACTGAAGACGGTTACATATAAAGTTTTCTTTGGTAAATATGCCCTTACTAAGAATTTTTCCCTCATCGAAAGCAGTCTGTTCGGCAATATCAGGTTTTGTCCTCAAATATTCATTGTACTAAGATAGAATCTCTCATATTTCACACGTACCTTGAGCCACGACTGTTAACAAGAGCACTGTGGCAGTCACGGTAATAATCACAGGAGACATAAATGTTTGGTCAGGAGTATTGCATCCAAGCAGTAAATTCTCGGTCATGGAGTACAAATGAAACTTCTCAGTGAATTAATGAGTTGGCAGATATCAGAGTTTGTTTTGTCCGCAGTGTTTAATCAATTATTGATGACACAATTTATTAAATGGCCAGCTCCGATTTAACGGGCAAGTTGAACCAGATTCTGCCCTGTGATTGGCTACCCGAGCGAGTAAGATTCCCATTCGGTATCCCGCAAGAAAAAGGCGTTCTTTATGTCATATAATAAATCCTTGAGGAAGACGCAATGAACAGCCTCAACTGCAAACACATGTACTTTGGCGTTTATTCTACAACGTGAGGAAGTTGTTGTAAACCTTTCAACATAAAAATAAATTCAACACAACACACAGGAAGTATTTTTTTAGATCTTTATTTTTCTTGAAAGGTGGGAGACATTATGGATGTGATTGTACAAGAAAAACTCTCAGCAACCACAGTATCACTAGAAGTAAATTGGTTTTTAGCCACTGTGCTATTATACCAAGGGAAGATTTTTCAAATTCAGCCTTTCCTTTTTCAAATTGAGATCATATCTGCAAACTAAACCTTGTGGTGACTTAACACTTAACATGACATTTCGTATATACCTCTAGGGTACTGGTGTAGTATTTTGTAACATAAATAGACTATATCAGCAGGTGCCTTTTCAGCCCATTAGTTTTAGGTTGCCATTGATATATAAAAAAATCGTTTTGCTTTTTGACTTTTCGAAGTTATAACTGATAACTATTTGTATCACTATTATTTACATGATAGTTTCTGTGATGATCTTTATTTTAAAACTCTTCCTTCAGGCTCTGGGTATTGCTTTCTGAATAAAATAAACCATTGATCCTGATAAAAAGAACCAATTATTTTCAACTTCAGCAACAATAATAAACACCGTTAACTGGTTTTGTAGCAAAAATGTAGGAATGAGTGAACAAAGGAACTTTCCAAATGCGAAATACTTCATTTGAGTCACTTCCGCCATGAACCGAGAGTGATTGATGTTGTGGACGAAATGAATCAACGTGAAGATTATACCTCCGGCTTCACCAGTTTAATAAATTCTGTCGAAAGGAAAACAAAGACCTTTATTTGAAATTGCCACCAGTAAATTGGATATTGATTCAACCTAACTTAGTTCTCTTATTTATCTTTTAAATAACTGTTATATCATAACATTGCAAACTTTTTCCCTATTAAGGTGTTATTATCGTCTTGTCGCGGTAGCTCGTATTGGTCCACAGAGTTTTATCAATGGCAGTAAACCCAGAGTTTACTGATTATTTTGTGGGTGTTTCTCTCCAGGTTACTTCGTTGTATAGCAAGCATAAACCTCATCATTTGCGAATAACAGTATTGATGAAAAGGTCTGGAGATCGAGACGTGTTTTGTCAGAGATGTCTACGGAAGTATTCGTGTAGAAATCTTTAGTGATTAATCATGATTAAAATAGCTAAAAAAGAAATTTCATGTAATGACAAGTAGATATAGGGTGCTTTCATTATGCCAAAGATTCCGGAAATTTCGGTCGGAAATTCAAATAGGTCGGAAAGGTCCGTTTCGGTTTCTTCGACCGGAATATTCGGGATCACCTCTGGAGGTGGTCCACTTATTTCGGTCGGGATACTCCGACCGAAATTCGCCGTTTCATTTTTGAAAAACTGGTTCTTTGCCCTAACTGGGGAATTCTGAAAAGAAATACAAAATGGTAAGAGCCATCTCTATTGATTGGCCCGGTTTAATCGGAAAATGTCGTTCCATTTTACTCGGGTATTCCCGCTGATCTCTGACTGGTCGATTTGGCATAATGGAAAGCACCCATAGACTGCTAACGGTCTGTTTTTCTCTCGAGGTCAGCCTGACAAGGAGTATGAGGTGAGACACGGGTGTGGCACACTCGCCCCAACCCCTTTTCGTCCACATTACCTCTTAATGTTTGTGTTTGCGAATAGCCACTCGTTTGACCCTAAGACTGAGGAAAGACTGGCTGCCAGCAGCCTTAATGACAAGCGAATCTTGCAAATGATTAATGATCTGCGCAACTCCAGACTGTACTAGCCAGCTCTAAAAAGGCTGATTTGTTGCGAGTGACTTACAAGGCTTATATTCGTCTTTGTTCTACACCATTCTTACCTTCAAATGTGATCTTTCGTTTTCGACTTTCTTCTTGATCCTGTAATATCTCGTTGATGTCTTGTTCTGGAATACTTTCTCCCATGTGCCGCATCACGTAACGAATCTCGTTAGAGAATATGTAACCTTTGTCGTCACCATCAAAAGTTCTGAATGCTTCCAGCAGTTCTTTTTCATCAAGCGTGTTGTTATTTTGATTGATCATCATGTTTACAAATTCACCAAAATCCACTACGCCGTTACCTTTGTAAAAATATACATAAAATACCATTACTGGGGTGGATACAGGATTTAGAGAGGAGGGTTCAAGACACGGACCACCGAAGGCGTTCCCGTGTAGGGGGTCCGTGTAGAGGTCCTCGGAAATGCAGGGATTTGGCATTCAGGTGCCTGGTCAGCGTGAATGCCTCACCTTTTTTATCTAGGGGGTTTAACCGAACTCCTCGAGCCTCCCTAGATCCGAACTAGATTACTCGATTGTGATTGGCTAGAACAACACCCAACAGTTTGACTGTTAGGTCGGCTAATAGCTTGCTATCAAAGCCGAGCGGTCTACTTGTCCAGTCTTTGTCCAACCCAAGGACTGATCTGTTCAACACTGAACATCTACAAACCGATTAATTGGCAATTTTTCTTATGAGGTTTTTTTTTCGAGCACCAAGGGCCTTCTGACGATCAATAGTAGGTTTCGGTACATGTGTAGAAAATCACATTGCCAGTTTGGTAAAAGGGAGTCAGTGGGTTGCGCTAAATACGATGGAGGTCTAAAGCGAGTGCGGGAAAGGACACGAAAGAACATAACACAAAGACCCCACCCTGCCCGGGATTCGAATGCAGATCATTTGATCGGGAGTCCAACACCTGACCACTGGGTTTTACAATTAATTTTAAGACAAGTATGTAATTTATAACACATTTTAAAAGGAAAAAGGGGTCAGCATTTAATTTAACTTTACCGTCATAATCCACCTCGTTGACCATGTCTTGCAGCTCGTTTTCCGTGGGGTTTTGCCCCAGGGATCTCATTATAGCTCCTAACTCCCGGGTGGTAATATACCCGTTGCCGTCTTTGTCAAAAAACTTGAAAGCATCTCGGTATTCTAAGAAAAAGAAAATTAGTTGAACATTGGGAACAATGAGAGTAGCCTTGTCAAAGGAACAACAATTATTACATGAACAATATAATTTCTGGATACGAGGAGATACTGATAAAAAACCAGGCGAGTTTGTTATCACTTCGTATCCAATTCCAACAAGGGCGAATAGAATGGATGACTAAGATGCACCATGTGGACATTTCAGTTCTTTCTAAACGAAGTGGTAGCATGAAAAGGCAGGAAAATTTGTGGCGCAGTGTTGACAGTGTTTAGTCGACACGTGTGGAAAGCAAGTGAAAGAGAGTTTTCTTTCGAAGTATTCCTTTCACAATCTCTTCCTACATTGTCTATTATTTAGGAAAATTGTGACATATGGGAATGGTTTGCCGGAACTGGATCCCAAGGAATAGCGTTGCTGAAAGTTATACGCCTTGTGCAAGTCAAATGAAGAAAAAGTATAAATTAGCTTACTTGTTTACGTGAATGCCATCTTTATGACGACAGCTACTGATCAAGTTCATTGAAGTAAGAGAACAAGACCCAGATGTGAGGTAAAAAGCTTTATTGAAGTGCTAAGTTTAATTCTATGTGGAATTTCCCAAATGAAATGTGTGGGCTTTTGGATCTTTCCGTGAATTTTTTTGCTGCTTTTCCTCTTCATTCAGTCAATTGTGTTGTCATTTATATATTGATAAGCCTTTTCAAATATTTCGTATAAACCTACGTAGTTTGATTTAATTATTGCCATTTTGCGACTTTTGTGGTTCCGCGATGGCATTGCTCATTATTTCTTTTATGTCCGCGATACAAAGATCAGGAAATCTGCTTTTTTTGATGGAACTTTCCAACGGAACTTTCGGTTTCCGCCGAATAATTTTGCACAAAAGAGCGTTTTGACTTGACGTCAACGGAGCCTTAGTAGTGTTACAAAACATTGAAATGGCGGCCATGTTGCTGTACCAAACCAATTCTGTGGGAGTTGAACTCTTTTCCTTTGCAAACACTTCCTCCCGTTCCAAAACCTTGCATGGCAGCTGGAAAACGCTCTAAACGCTCTAAAGTGAAAACGCTCTAAACGTTAAGCGACACTAGCCGCACTTATTCGCGAAAATCGCGATATTAAAGAACCGCGAAATGTAAATACCAATCCGAAGGCCACATATAATCGAGCTGATTACTGAGATTCAGCGAACTAATCAGCTCAGAAAGTTATTAAAGCATTATCCGAGGTTATAAGAATTTCGCTCAGCGAATAATGTTAAACTCCTTTTGGAACAGGGTAACCTTCAGCGTATTTTCATCCACGTTTAAAATGGTCAAGTATCCAGAGTTCGAATGAACTTTTTCACACACTAGAGGCCAAAGTTATCGATAAAAATTAAATCATTTTAACAGCTGTTTCGAGAAAGGTTGTCGGATGAAAGCGTGAAGCCTATACGCGACATGTTTTTGCGCGTGAAGTATCAGCAAGGATACATTAGATTTTCCACTCATAAGACCATTTTTCGGTAGCCTGTCTTTCACTGTTACATGACTTTTAGTTGAAAATCAGGTGGCAAAAAACTTGTACGAAATACGCTTGCCATGTACAGCGTGTACAGTAGGCTCGATTTCCAGCCATATTGTGAGCCCGCGTTCCTTGTTGGGAGGAGGATAAACAACCGCACTCCTAAAACAGCTGGAAATCGAGCCTACGTGTACAGCGGCTATCTCCTTCTTACCACACTAACTTTTGGGGTTGTCGCGTGTACTTCCTACGCTTTTTACCGACAATCTTTCTTGAAACAGCTGTATTCGAGATCTTGATAACATGCGTTTGATATGTATGCCAGAGTTCATGTTTTGGAGCTGAAGCCAATGCCTCTCCATCAAAGAACTTGAACTGGTCGCCGACAACTGCATGCTCTTGAAAAACTACTTAAGTTGTCGCAACTAATTTTCTTTAGTTTGTTGTCAATAACCTGCTTGGTACACTTCTGTTTGTTTAATTATCCACAGCTATTTGTTGCCGGTGACTAGTAACTGTTGACAGTGGGCTTCAAACATAACAAACTCGGTCAAATGATGTCGTTCATGGTCAGGGAATGATACGTTTAGTTTATAACACACATCGTACATATTCCGTGTAATGGCCTCCGTGTTAGTAAAACCCTACACAAATGCCTTAGTTTAAACAGTTGTTATTTCCATCCCTGACGAGTCGCGATATTTATACTTGTTGGACTGCAAATGCGATAATAATTCTAATAGAAAAGTTCTACGTTTTGTCGTGTAAACCGGGCGAAAAACGCAGTATTTTCAATGAGAAAGTCTAGTGTAAATTAGCGTTTCTGTAAATGAGAAGTGATTAAAAAAGGTCCTGACATATTCAGAGCTTGATTGTGAAGGATTTACGTGTACCAGGAAGCAGTAGTCTGTCTCAGTTTCATCAGTTCATTTGTCTGTAATATACCGAATTGAAGTCCATGGTAACATTTGAATCAGACAGATGAATCGGAATATTAAACTGACTTATGTCACAGCAGGTTCAAACTTTTGTTATATTTTTTTTGATTTCCCCTCGCCACAGAAAATGCGCAAATTTGTTCAGAAGATTATTCAATAGTGCGGTTTTTTTGTAGTCAATGCAATTAATCAACTAAGTCTGCTAAATGCCAGTTGACATATCTTTTGTATTCATTTTCGATATTTACATATTCTGTTTTTACGTGGCCCTATCTTACAGTACCAGATTCTTTAGACTTGAGCTTTCTCAATTCAATCGCTTTCTTCATTCGGAAGATCTTTGCGACATAGGAACAAAGGGCACACAATTTAATTAAATTACTTTAAAGCGCGCTGTTTTTGAACAAGGGAAGTTAGATGTCAAAAATTACCTTCAATCTGCTCTTCGGTGAGTTTATCCTGCAAAATAATAAAAGAAATTTAATTGGCAAGTCACCTCAAACCAAGATGTTTCTGGGAAGAAAGTAAATGGAAAAGAGATGGAACGGTCATGGAAGGAAAGTTGGATGTTTCAAAATCTTACGACGGACAAAAAATCGCTGAAAACCAGACAAATCGGTGAAAAGTAATTATTGTTCGATCGATCCAAGTCAAGATTTGAATGATTTGCATTGTCCCTTGCCAAACACCTTTCTGGATTCTGATTTCATTTTCAAGAATGTTTTCTTCTGTGAGCGACACATTAGATAAAATGGTACCTCGATATCCATTTCAGTTTACTCAGCGACCGAGAGATTCCAAGCTTTTCCCCAGAAGTGAAATACCGCTTTATATCAGCACGATAGCAATCGGTATTGCATGTACTTTTCCTTTGATCCCAGCTCACATCGAAGTAATTCAATTGAATAATAATAAGTCTTTTTCTTGCGCACTTTAAACAATCTATTTTTAGTCGATATATTTTCGCATGCGTCAGCTCAACTGGATAAGCAAATTAATGATCCACTTTGCTTCCTGGGAAAAGAAAACAAAAAAGAAACCAGCCATTAAACGTAGCCCTAAGACATTTCTGGAATCCGTTTTCAAATATGCTTCAATAATTTTTGTTGAGACGTTTTTCGAAGGTTTTTTTTTTTCACTCGGATGCTGAGATCTGAAAGATAATTTCTATTTACAAAGTCTGAACTGAACCTGAACGTTTTCAACTACACAAAAAAGACTAAACTATAGCTCTCTTTAGTTTGCGTTAACGGACTTTAAGAAATTCAACTTTCCATATACTTTCCATGTGTCGTAGATTGAACAAATACTCGGCTAGCATTTCTCTTTTTTCTTTATGTTGTAATTATTCAACATTTACAGTCTGTATCAAAAGCGAAGCTACGGTGAATCTCCGGTCGTAGATCAGAATAAGTGTGTAAAATCTAGTTCTAGACGTCAGCAAGCATAAAGTGTACGTCAGTTCAATCTTCTGTACAACAAATTGTAAAACGAAAGTTTTAGCAAAATGGGCTCAGAAAGTTATCCCTGAATTATCAACTTCCCCTTGTCTTTCCTGAACGGCAACAGGGGGCGGCGGAATTGGAACGTCAAAATTTTGTTTGGTCATTGAAAAAGGAAAACGAGAAAGAGCTAAGAATGAATGTTGGCAAATATTAAAAATTCCTGCTTCGGTACGTACGATTGCACCTGCTGAAAACGATATAAAAGGTACAAGCTTTCAGAAAGGCTTTTTTTGCGGAACATCTATCAGTGTATGATATTTAATTAATTATTCAGTAGACTAGAGGAAGATCTCGAAGGGCTCCAGCTGAAGTTAAATGTCAGATACTGCGATGTCATTTTGCATAACAAGCTGCAAAATATTGTTTTCTGATGTTATGAGTAACACGACATTCAAGTCACCGTATTTACCCAGTTTGAGTACTTTATCCCAGCAGGTGTTTAGACCAAAACTATANCAATTGAACGTTCTACCAAGTGAGCTATGAAAGCACTGAGAGTTTGTCAATTATTGCATGTTCTGCATTCCAGTGAATTATGTCCTATTCTGGTGGTAGTGAATATATTCAAAATGTTATAAAATGATTATGCGATCATCGAGTTTTCCGAAAATTCAGCAGTTATAACGATAAACGACAACACTGCTGCACAAAATTGCAAAGTTTGCCCAGATTGGTATAGTCAGATAGTCAGAGTTTGTTTGGTTTGTGTACAGTTCAGCGTGGAGAAGAAGGCTTTGGTGTCCAAAGACATCACGTTCATTTTATAGTTATCCATATTGACTTAAAGAGGAAGGCTTCATGCGAAATTCACCTAATTTACTCCTCGCGAAATAGTCCGTTTGCACAAGACGAATTAATTAGGACTCAAGGATGATTGCCAATTAGCCGTCCATTGTTGATGAAGAAGTTAATCATCAAGAACAAATAAATCTGACAGATCTAAAAATTATGTTCAAAATAATATAGTCGTGCATGTTTGTAGTTGATATTTTTGTGCGTGGCAGTCTAGTTTTAGCAACGCAATATTTAGCTGATAATTTTAAGATACGCGCCAAAGAATAAAGTGGAAAAAAGGTGAACGTAACCATGTAATGTTAGAATTTCTGGTGATGTATATTTTTTTCTTAAGGCTATTTAATTTTGCATATAAATGACAGCTTCAAAGAAATGACATTTTTGTGTGCATTTCAACATTTTGAAAATGCGACAACCTTTTTATTTCGTTTTCATGTGCTCCCTATAAGTTTTCCGTTTTCATTTGTTTCATATGGGTTTTCGATCAAACTCGTCATCTAGTTTCATTTCCAAGCGATTTGAAATTCAAATTTGGAAAATCTTTCGCTAGTTGATCTAGAATTCTCAGTTGCGCTCTTTCACGTTCTGATCTTCCTGTTGTAGCAGACACGAACTCAACTAACCGTTAAAAAGCTCTTTGCTGTCGCAAAACTGATTCACCCACTCAAGTGTTCCTGTTTTGACACTGACAGCTTAAAAATTCAATCACAAATGCAATAACCATAATCGTTATTTCTTATTGAATTTTTTTGAATATAAAAGAAGAGCCGCAGACTTCGGCGAAACTGTTCTTTTTAAACGCTATTCTCCAAATTCAAAAGAAATGAAGTTTCCATGGCTTCAGGGCCTGTCGCTCGAGGCAAAACAAAGTCGAATCTTTCATGACTGATTTTTTACTGAATTTTCAGAAGGAAATTTTATGTTGGATTCTCGATAACCTAAATCTGAAATCTTCTGTTTCGTTTTTTACAAAAAATATTTGTTCGTGAACGAAGTGCCGGCAAAAGCGAGATAGCATAAGCTAGAGCAACGCACCAGTTGCAGTAACTGTAGGGCCATTTGACATTTTTCACACCACTGAGATTCTAGAAATAAAATATATATTAAGCTCTGAATGTAAATTCGAGAAATAGTAACAAGAAATACCTCAATTTTAAACCGCTGCTCAGCTTTAAACGACATCCTTCGTCTCAAATCTTGAAGCTGGGGAACCTGTGGCCGCTAAAACCTTAAGAAGAGCTCGCAAATTTTGAAGAAACCACGCATTGTCAAAGCTTGATTTAAACTGAAGGATATAATTAATTCTTGCACATCGCTGAAAGGCTATTTTCTAGCCACCGAAATGTAAACAAATAGAAATGAGTTTATTTAGAAGGGCCTTGTTACGAAATCTAAATCAACTGAATGAAAAACCAGTGCGAACACGAATTCCGCATGGTTTAATTTCTTAACCCGCCGTCTGCTTTGATCGGCATACTGAAAATAATTCGCGCGCGGAGGTAGTCAGCGATTCAATTCTCTTTCTTCGTTCAGTTGTTTGATTTTTTTTGAGACAGCTTTTGCGAGATTTATTTCCTCTATATATTCAAGTTAATGAAAGCTTTTTGACATCAAAGCTCGGATAAAATCACATTTCCGGAGAATATTTCTTTTAAGCGAAGAGCTGATGCCCGCGTATTGATATCTGGATGGACAAAGAAATCACACTATTTACCCTTCCAAAATGAACATGGCACTTCGGGCGGCATAATTACTCAATTCTATATTGCAAATTAAATATTCTGTTTTTGAAAGCAAGAATTGAAACATGGTTAATGACAAATTAGTCCCTTTTGGATTTTAATGTCGAAATGATATTTCAGGAATATATGTCTAGAAATTCTCATTTCACTTGCCGGTTCGAATTTTAGTGGTAAATATTCGTTTTTCTTCTTCATTACCGTTCATTGCTAGCTAATTTCCTTAAAACGCACGGCAGAAATTTGACTGTACTCACTACAAACCAGTCTTTGATTAAATTCGTCGTTGAACATTTTTTTACCATTCTGTGGTCTAACTTGGATATTTTTTATCACACATTTAAATGAATATTCATAATATGTGTATCTCGACATTTAAAACGTCTGGGAAATTGAATTTAAGTGTCACTTTCCCCATGTTCGATAAATGTCAAAAAGGTGAAAGAGGAAAGCATTATCCTTCAAAATTGATGGCGTTTTCGTATCGGGTTACGAAAAAAAAAATCAAAATCGCCAAATGGAGGGCTGTTCATTTACTGTAATTGCTAATATTCTTTAAGTTTGCATTTTTTCTTTGGCTTGTCAGTATATTTACCGCCAACACTTTGCCCTATCGCCGAGCGAGGAAAAATTAGCTTGCACTTACCATTAGTTAATTCGAGAGGTAATCCAGGTCCTCGGCTGATCCGGTAATTTTTTCACACTATTAAATCATCAATTTTATAAGATTCTTTTAACAACAGCAGTCACGGTATACTTGCTTGTGGTGCACCATCGTAACTCGATACTTACAACCCGAACACAAAATTTATTCCTTATAAACAATAGCTTGCGATCTACCAATCGTGAAAGGGATTTTTAATTGGGTATTCCATGACGATTAAAATTTCATCATTTATTTTCCAGGTTTCATGTCAGATGATCCCGCGGCTCTAGCTAAACCAGAGTAAAGTTTATTATCAGGAAATTACATTTGATTCGTGTATTCAGAACAAAAAATATGAATTTCCCCTTGACTTTGTTTGCTATGGGGAAATTACGGCGGAAGTCAAATGGCATTCTCATTTATCAGAATAAAACTGAAGATAAATTAAAGAACGCTAAAGATTTGCCATGGATAGTCTAATAGCCTTCTTTGCAAAAATCTTTTAAAGGCATATTTAATATGGAGGAAGCGAATTAGTTTTCCCAAAGGCAACTTTTTTCCACTTCTTTATTTTTGGAATGGCAGGGGGCAATGTGATGGTCTTGACAAAAATATTATCGTTGACCTTGCCAGCAAACTGGCTCTAATGAAAAGCAGGGTAATCTATTCTGAGTTTGGAGATTTTCTAAATCACTAATGGTATTGTGAATTAGGTCAACATATTGAAAACCACAAAGCTTGTTAGGTTATCACTAAATGGTTTCATTCATTTATAATTGATTCCGCAAAGTTGAAGCATTGAAATGTTTTTCGTTTATCCCACATCTGTCGCCCCACTAAAACCGCAAATTATTTAGGCGCTTCCCAGATGTGAACTGTGCAGTTTTAATCTTGTCCAAGTTAACGAAGTGCATGGAAACCAAACCTATTATGTTGCAATACAATATCAAACCGGCAGACAACACGTTTAATCTGCTCCATTAGGTTATTTTTAGACAGTAACTCAGCATCCGATTCATAAAAAGCTTAGGTGATTGAAATTGACACTGCCGGGAAGTTGTGCGCCGGAAAAGCTGTGTCCCTGAAGAAATACAGCAGCAGAATTTACCTTAATTACTATTGTTCAGGCTCAGTAACAAGGAATCACTAGAGCTCCTCCATCTGGGAAAGATCCCAGATTTATTATGGATCATGTCAAAATAAAAGCAACCGAGATTGTCGATATCATAGTCCATCTAATGCGTGTGATCGTCCGAATCTCGAATTTTAGCACTGTTCAATACCACATAATATTGGAATATAGCAATTGATTAAATAAGGTCAAGATTTTAGTTAGCCACGAATATGTTCTTTAAGTTTGAAACGATTGTTTTTTCTTTTAGTTATTTACTTACACGAGAATCGAACGTGCTGTTACGCAGTGATAAACGTGGGCATATTTTTCGATGGTTTGAAATCTTGATGGACTTTCCTTGTCAAACAACCTGTACAATAGCTCTCTTGGCGGCTTTAATCACCGTTAGCTTCACCCTTATACTCTTGCAATTCTCTTCGTTAAAAAAATATCTGATTACCGCGTAGCTTAGCAGAACCTTTATATTAACCTTAATTAAAGGCCAGTAAATTATTTACGACCCAACACAGTTGATCTGATTACTGCATAGTTTAGCAGAACCTTTGCATTAGCTTTAACTGAAGGCCAATAAATCGCTTAATACCCAACACATTTATCAAGATATATCTTAACGTTTGTTTAGCTCATGTAGCGGGAAAGGATATACCGTTAACCCAATTAACGCCCCGTCCACACTACGTCGGAGGAATTTGAAAGCGCAGCTTTATTTCTATGGTTAGGCCTACCGTCCACACTAATCCGTCCGGCGAAAACGTTCTTCAAACCGGAAGAATTCAATTAAAAATGCAGGCTTCGCGTTTTAGTGTGGACGGAAAACATCTTGAAAACGGAGCTTTCCGACAACGATGACGTCACGATAATCATGTGATTTCCTTGAGAGAGTTTCCCTCAAACACAAATTCAAAATGACCGTTGACTGTTGCGTTTTCAAATTCCTCCAGCCCCTCCGGGGCCTTAGGCGTCTAATGTTCCCCTTCTGGACTCCTTTTCTAAGTTTCCTATAACAGTTAAAAGAACTGGATGTATCGAGTGATAGTGGGCGCTTTAATTGCATTCGACCAAAAATTCCAGTTTGAATATACAGAAATTTCCAGTGGCGAATGGAAGAACATTTTCTACAATTTCAGTCGACCATATAACCATGTTTTCGAAAATTTCTCACCTAGAATTCCCGTTCCATTTGATCATGATAGTCCTCCAAGAATTTCAAAAATTTTAAGTTGAATGGTTCTCATATGGGAAATTCAACAGTTTCGGATTTTCCGGAAACTCTCAGTTCAAAGACGTTTCTGTACCATTCGCACCCTTTCCAATCTTCCGGAAGCTTCCGTTGAATGGAAAGCACCCAAATTTTCCTACCGAGGACTTTCGTTCCATTTTATTTTCCTCCCAAAATTCCCGAAATTTTGGCCTGAATGGTTCACATTTCGGCAATTTAACAGTTTTCGAATTTTCTGGAAACTTTCTGTCCCAGGAAATTTCCTTGCCATTTGTTCCCAGGTTGGTTAGATTGCGAGCGCTCTCCATTTGCGTGGAAAATCGGTGAAAAATGAATTTTCCGCCAAATGGAACAGTACAAAATATCAGTAAACAAAATGAGGCGGGATGAGTGTGTACCATTTGAGAGCATTTGAAAACCTTTCAGTGAAAAGGACTGTTTCATTTCATTTCCCAGTAGCGTGGGAAAAGAGAGAAAATGAAAATGATAGAGATATTTTGCGATTATTCCAGCAAACATCAGAAAGAGGAATACCTCTAAATTAAGGTATTCTTTTTTTTCCTAAACATTTCTGGTGTTAGTGCAGGACGTTCCACTTGATTCCTCACTGTGACTACCGGTTTTCCATACATCTGTAGCTTGGGTATCCTGTGGTGGACCTTTGTTCAGTTAGTTCAAGCCGTGTATCACGTGCGAAAGAAGGAGTTTGTATCTTATTGGCTAACTCTTTGCTAAATCTGGGGAACCGATCTGAACATAACGCCAAAAAAATTGAAATTGAGAATAAGTTTGAGTTTGTTTTGAATCAGTGGCGTTCACAAAAATTCACACTGTGCCTGTCTATAAATATTTTGATGGCTGAAACTTGTGATAAGACGCGACGGAATCATTCGGTTTTTATCCACAATCAACTGATTTCCTTTCCTTTCGGCACAGACCTAGGCTATTTATAGTTATGTGTTTGGTCTTCTTTGCTTGTTTTGCTTTTTCTTTCTTAGCACAATTGACTCATAAAATATTGATTATTTCGGTACCCACTGTCTAGGACTTTTAATTAGCAAAAATATTACATTCGTAGATAGATTATGTTCTTGTTTTTCATTTTCTGGTAAAAGCAAAAACTTAAGGTCGAGCGTCGCTCATGGTTTTCTTTCCGGACTTAATGAAAAAGATAAATAATAATGAAAAATGTTTTAATGGCATTCATATTTAGTCATTATTTTGTCAATTCACCTGCATAGAATTAATTTCGCGACTTGGGGTAANTTTTTTTTTTCATAAAAAATTGAGCAGTTCTTCAATACGGAAATCCTGAAAACAGTATATAGGCTTCAACTTTTTAAAGAGAGTCTTAAGAACACACGAACTTTGCATGCGAAGTCGGTTCGAATTCATGCAATTGAACGTTCTACCAAGTGAGCTATGAAAGCACTGAGAGTTTGTCAATTATTGCATGTTCTGCATTCCAGTGAATTATGTCCTATTCTGGTGGTAGTGAATATATTCAAAATGTTATAAAATGATTATGCGATCATCGAGTTTTCCGAAAATTCAGCAGTTATAACGATAAACGACAACACTGCTGCACAAAATTGCAAAGTTTGCCCAGATTGGTATAGTCAGATAGTCAGAGTTTGTTTGGTTTGTGTACAGTTCAGCGTGGAGAAGAAGGCTTTGGTGTCCAAAGACATCACGTTCATTTTATAGTTATCCATATTGACTTAAAGAGGAAGGCTTCATGCGAAATTCACCTAATTTACTCCTCGCGAAATAGTCCGTTTGCACAAGACGAATTAATTAGGACTCAAGGATGATTGCCAATTAGCCGTCCATTGTTGATGAAGAAGTTAATCATCAAGAACAAATAAATCTGACAGATCTAAAAATTATGTTCAAAATAATATAGTCGTGCATGTTTGTAGTTGATATTTTTGTGCGTGGCAGTCTAGTTTTAGCAACGCAATATTTAGCTGATAATTTTAAGATACGCGCCAAAGAATAAAGTGGAAAAAAGGTGAACGTAACCATGTAATGTTAGAATTTCTGGTGATGTATATTTTTTTCTTAAGGCTATTTAATTTTGCATATAAATGACAGCTTCAAAGAAATGACATTTTTGTGTGCATTTCAACATTTTGAAAATGCGACAACCTTTTTATTTCGTTTTCATGTGCTCCCTATAAGTTTTCCTTTTTCATTTGTTTCATATGGGTTTTCGATCAAACTCGTCATCTAGTTTCATTTCCA